CTTGAGCCACAGGCGCCGAGCCAACATTTTTTTTTAAAATATATACCTGAATTCCTTCTGCTAAGATTTTATTGAGAATCTTTGCATCTATATTCAGTAAAGATGTTGGTGTCTGTGGCCTGGTGCCCAAAGTATCATATTAAGGAGATGGAGGTGATAGAGGCCAGAATGAGGCACCTTTGGCCCTAGGGCTAGGGAATTTTAAGACCACCAGGAGATTTTCATTTTCCCTTTTTGTGTTTACCTATGGAGTGTGATTCCTGAAAAACACTCCCTGGTTATAGAATACAAGGCACTGTGGGTGCAACTACCCCTACCAGCCACTTACACTGACCTTCACTACTGCTATATCCTGGACCTGTAATTTTACTTTAGTCTTTAGTTTTCTCAGTTCAGTGATATCAAAAGAAAGGACTTCCTACACCACCTTGTATTTCCTTTTCATATGCCATCAACAATGTGGCCCAAGTAGGACCCCTGGTCCTTTGTCTTCATGATTCATCTGATGCTCTTCTAGAGGCTGCCAAAATGGCAAATTATGCCAAATTTTAGAAAATGTGTGATCTCCTATTTGTTATGTTTGCCATGGTTTTTATCACAAGACAGGCTAAATTTCCAATCTGGGTATCAAATACCACATTATTTGAAAGCTGGGAGATGACTGGACCTTACCCTTCCTGGTGGGTTTTAAACCTACTGCTATTGTTAGTACAAGGGATGAACTGCTTCTGGTCTTACTTGATTACTAAAATAGCTTGTAAAGCTGCTTCAAGAGGCAAGGTGCCTAAGGATGACCAAAGTGATACTGAGTCCAGATCAGATGAGGACTCGGAGCCTCCAGGGAAGAACCTCCACACCGCAGTAACCACCAATGGGACCAGTGGTACCAACAGGTGTCTCCTGACTGGCCCTTGCTCTATGGATGATTAACTCCCCCAAACTACAAGTCCTGAACAAAGTGAACTCTTTGTTCCTGGAAGTATTTAGTAAGTTGCAAATGCAGTTGCTTTCATATCTTAGCATCCAAAACAAAATCAAAGCATTTTGAATAGTGCACTGCCAAGTGTCCTGTGAATGAAGAATTACTATTCTATGTAGGCATGCTGTATGTTACCGACACAAGGGAACAGTATTTGCATTTGTACTGTCTTAGAATATTATTTATTTTTTGTATTTGTTTGTAACAAAATCTGTGGACAACAGAGTTTCCTCCCTCCTTTTCTTCTCTGGGTTTGTGACAGTGAGATGCTGCATCTGCATATAGCCCTTTCTGTTGCTGTGGTCCCATGTGTTGTGAGCATCAGCTTAATTTGTCGCTTACAGTAAGCAAAGCCCAGGGCAAGATTCTCACACAGCTCTGAATAGGTTTGCTTTGTGTCAGTGTGCTCATTTTGAAATTGCCTGTGCAGTCCCAGTGACTGTTTAAAAAGGATGAGCTAGGTTTTTAATTATCACTCTTCATGGTCAATTGGTAGTTCAAGGTTCAAGACGATGGTTATTGGAGGACTTTTTAGAAGTTGTTTTGTATTAAGTTGCTTTGGAATAGACTTCATTTCTTGAGCATCCAGCCAAGATTTTCTCAGTGAATGTGATAGCCAGTGGGAGAATAACCTTGTAGGTTAGAGTTCTCTCTCTCTCTCTCTAATGATGAGGTCAGTGCTCTGACTCTGAATAAAGATGTTTGCTTAAGCTCATAGTAACAAACAAAAGAAATCATTTTTAATACTGGGAATTGGTCCTGTGTTCTGGGAGTAACATAAAGAGAGTAACAGATTTCAACCAGGTCTTGCCAATACTCCTGTAATTGTTGCAGTCTCCTGTCACATCATGACAGAAGCTGAGTATATTTTGGGACAAGAGTTGGCAAAGATCACCTCCAGGGCACAGCACAACTTTCAAGGAAAGTCCCTATCCAGTATTAAGTCTTGTTTTTATTTTGCTGAACAAAATAAAGCCAGTGGGAAAAAAACTATTTTACCCTTTGCTTTTCTACTTAAACATGACCTGGGATGACTTTCCTACTATTAGAAATGGAGAGTCATTGCACTCCAAGGCTTCTTTGAAGACTTGCTTCATTTCCAGAGATGTTTCTTCAAATAAAGCTATTTCCAGAAAAACTGAGCAATGGTAATTCCTGCAATTAGGAGTACCACTAGTTTCCATAAAGGCTCTTATATGGTAGTGGTACTTACGTACAGAAAATCATACATAAGCCCAAGATTTTTATCTCTTCTTCCAGGAAGAGCAAATAAAAGGGATTATACTTATTTCATAAATCAAAAAGACCATAATCTAAAACAAAAATGCAGTAGTATAAATGTTAGAATCAGGGTACAGAGAAGACAACAGGGAGACTGCCTGTCCTGCTCAGAACCATTCATGTTCAGTTTGATTTTGTGAATTAAAGTTTTGTGCCCACAATTTGCAAAACTGAGTTAGTAGTTAATAGAATGCTCCAAACAAGAACTTTTTACTACAGTATCATCTCCCACCCCATTTATTTATGAGATAGCATGTGCCTGGTGTGGTCCTTAGTAATAACTGAAGAGACGTGGAAATGTCTGCTTGCTTAGTGAGAAAATTGTACAATTAATTCTGCTTGTAGGGCCTTATTATTTTATTTCACAAAACAGGTGTATATAGATGGTTAATTTTGTAAGATCAATCAGAAAATACCAAAAGTCATCAGAACTTCTCTGGGGTAAGTTTCCTAGGTAGGCAAAAGCAGCTGGAGGACCAGAGTGTTCAAGAGAGACTCGACAGAAATTTCACGATCAGCTTAAAGGCTTAGAGAACTTGCATAAAATAAAGTAAATAGAGTCTGTTGTTAGCAAGGGCAAATCTAAATAATCTTTTGTTTTCCCAGAAGTCAGTTATAAAGAGGAATACTCAGAGCCTCTCTAAATGATATAGTGTTTACTTAATAGTCCTCTACGTTATCTACAGATTTTTATTTCATTTTACACTTTAGGACAAAGAGTTTTTTGCCTTTCAAAATTGAGTTCATGGGCCTTTTATAGTGTAGAATATGTCTCTGCTTACAGCTTTTCTATGATGGGCTGATAAGCCTTGGAGAGAAAAAAATCTGTCATTGCATTTCCCCATGTGCCCAGCGTAGCTTTGGAAGTGTATTTTGTAAATCCAGCTATAGATTAGAAGGAGTGTTGTTTCTCATTAATTAACTTAGCCTGTGTTGATATCTCCGATACAAAAGCAGTATGTACTCAAAAAAGCAGTATTTTATTCTCCAATGTCATAGCATTTCTAGATCTCTGAGAGAGGGAAAAAGTAGATAATCAAGTAGAATTTGGCCTCAGGTCAATAAATGATATAAAAATGTGTGATCTATGTATATGAATGTTTCTCTAAAAATGTGAGAAAGCCAAAATATCACTGACTCATCTTTATCCATATTCTTTTCATAAAAAGCATTGACCATATGTAGTAGAAACTTCCCTGCTCCTTTGTCAACCCTATTTGTGTTCCCACATAGCTGAAAGTGGTAGAATCTTTTCAGCCTCCTATCCACAGAGCTAAATTCAGCATACTGCAGGTCACAGAACACCTAAGTTCAGCATATAAGTCAAATACAGTTTACATTTCCAAGTTCAGTTCTATGGATATTGAGAGTAGAACAACTGACACTGACTATTTTTTGGATTATTTAAGGGTATGCTGTAAAAGCGAACATGATTGCCAGTCCACCCCAGAGTTTTATTAACATCCTACTCCTACCAGTTTGTTACAGATGATGTCCTTATAGAGATGAATAAAGCCAAAATATAAGCAAAGAACAAGCTAAGATCAAATCACCATTAGTCAAAATGGTGGGTGAACCGCCAGATGTCCAATTCTGTTGCCAAACTTTTCATTCTAAGTATCTGATAGAGTTTAAATTTGAGCAAACTGAATGCTTCCATCTTAGGCAGAAAGGATCTGACTCTTCCCCTTTGTATTCAAACAAGAATTCTGTAAAAGCACTTCTAATATTTTATTCAGAAAAAAAGAAAAAGGGCAGAAACAAAAATCCCGGTCATTTGCAGTATCTGTCGGCTTTCAATTTGGCTCTCCTATTTAAACAAAGACAAACAATAAAAATTAATCTATGTAAAATATACCATAAACAGTCGACTTACTAAATATAAAATTGCTTGTGTGTTCAATCTGAGTTACTATATTACCACACTACTTATATGAAAATATTTTATTATAATTTAACTTTCCAATGGTTTCTATACACAAGTGGGTTCTCATCTTATGAAAGCTGTTTCCAAATAAGTTAACAAATATTGCCTCAGGGTCTTTTCAATCAACAACAGCAATTTTAACTACTTCTGAATTTAACTGTGCCCTAGCTTTTTATTTAATAGAGTGGCAATGCCATATCTGTACAAGTGATAAAGTTATGGGATATATGTGGTATAGCTTATTCTATCCTTAAGTCCGTATCCCGATTATAGTCTCTCCTTAATTTTTAGAATTAGATACGTATTATCTGCTCAGGTGAAAAAAACTGTTACGTTATTTATTGATTTCAGGTAAGAACTCTACCACTTAGTTAACAGGAAGTATGTAATTAAGCATTGCTTTTATCAAGTGATATGAAAAAAGACAAGGATAATTCTGGAACCTAAGATATGAATGAGCATCTGGAGATTACCAAGATCTGGCACCTACCTGATTTATACTTACAGGCTCACAGCTAAACCTCCTTACCTATTTTTTTATGTTACAACCTAGGTCATTACTTATCTAAATAGGAATAATAATAAACATACATGAATAATGTACTCAATGAATATCTTGCACACTTCAAAGTCTAACTTAAAAGTGCTTGAACTTCATTTATTTAACTTTTATACTTAATTTTATTTTAAACAAACTGGAACTGCTTTAGTAGAATCCAAAGAATTCTGACATAAACTACTTTCTAACTCTGGTTCTAATAATAGTCATGAAAAGATGATGAAGAGATTTAACAAAATCTTTTGATAAATTTTAATAAAGTAGATACAGTCAAACTTGAATTTATTACAAGAATCTGGTTATAATTTTTAGATATTCTTCCTTGGCAATCTTTTCTTACCAGACTTACAATATCCTCACTAAGTCATATTACCAAATTCGGAAATTTAGAAATAAAGACAAAACTATGAAAACTGCATAATTTAAAAAGAATGTGATTTATGTATGCCACTTCTACTGGCTACTGGAAATAGGTGGAGAAATATACATTTACCTGTCTAGAAGGGTCTCATGCAAAAATCCATCTTTCCGAGCCTTTTTAAGAATTTTACTGTCTTCTTTACTTATTTTAAGTTTGTGGTCTTGGAAGCTCTGAAATTTCTTTCTGTAAAGAAAATGCCTTCATTGAAAATACTCCAAACTTTGATTACACATGCTTATTGATAAATTCACAAATAGTGTTAATTTCTTACTTATTTAAAGAATGTAACTGGGATTTTTTCTTTTTTTTAAGAGACAGAGTCTCACTTTGTGCCATGGCATCACATAGCTCACAGCAACCTCCAATTCCTGTGCTTAGGCGATTCTCTTGCCTCAGCCTCCCGAGTAGCTGGGACTACAGGGGCCCACCACAACACTGGGCTATTTTTTGGTTGCAGTTTGGCTGGGGCTGGGTTTGAACCCGCCACCCTCGTAATATGGGGCTGGTGCTCTATATGGGGGCTGGCTGGTACATGGAGCCAGCACCCTACCCACTGAGCCACAGGAGCTGCCCGTAACTGGGATATTTATTTTTTTTTGCTGCAGTTTGACCAGGGCTGGTTTGAACCTGCCACCCTCGTAATATGGGGCTGGTGCTCTACGCGCTGAGCCACAGGCACTGCCTGTGGGATTTTTTTTAATAACCTCCAGCTTTTCAACTACAAAGATGGCCTTTGTGACCCTCTATCTATAGGGTCATTGTTTGAGCAGATCCACAAGCCCTACTTCTGCCAGGGAATGTGCTGGAGGCCCTGTGTCCTGGCCACAGGGCTAACCCTTAGTTGGCATTATTGCTGTCCTACTAAAAAAAAATGACCAACCCAAGAGCCCTTGGAGCTAGCAGGATGATTAGGAAAACCAAGTCTCAGTAAAAGAAAGCATTTAGCTCTGTGCTTTGTCCTAGCAGGGTGTCTGATCTGAGGCCCCTAGGCCACATGAGGATTTTTTTGAGGCCTGTTTTGCTTATCTGCATGTCTGATAATTGCAAAAATACGAATGACATTTTTTTGGTCATCAGCTGTCATTAGTGTTTGTGTATTTACTGTGTGGCCCAAGACAGCTCTCCTTCCAATATGCAGCGGGAAGAAAAACAGCTAACACCCCTGCCTTAAGAGTCTCCATTGTGCTGCCTGCCCCGATCCTTAAAATCGTGTGCCACTGTCAACCATACGTACACGTAATTGATTTCACACTGCTTTACGTTCCCTTTGTCTTCTTCTGGGATGTCATCTTTTTTCTTGGTTTCCCTTTCAGCACAGGACCGAATCTGGACAGTGGAAATGAGAAACCAAGAGGTAACATGCTTATCTTCCACCTTCCCCGCTTTATTTTCTGTATGAGAATATTTTAGGGGATTTCTTACATAAAAGAAGAAAACAATGAACTTAGTGATTAGATTCTGAAAGACAGGTTCTGGGTATGCTTTTTGTCCCCCCCGGGACTTCTGCACTGCCTGATCCCTCGCTTCTCTCGCCTGGGCCCATGTCCACCTGAAGGTGTCTTTAGACAGCCAAGGAAGGGACCTCCTCGGAGGAGTTAGAATGATCTTCAGTAATCATCTTCCCATTCCAGGCAGCTGGTGGTCTGTCAGTTGGCCCCAAATTCCATCCACACACCAAGAGAAAATTATTTGAAAAACATTTTATAGAACAGAGCCTACTGAGCAACTAAACAATAATTTAGTTTAATTTTGGCCCAAAAGTAAATACCCTAGGATCTAATTATCCTAGCTTAAGACAGTAGCAGTTTTACTTTGTATAGACTATTACCAAATAGATCAAAACTTTTAACATCACAAACTTGCTTTTATATAACTGGAATCCACCCCTTTAAATGCTTCTTACATCCTCACATGTTTAGACAGATATTCACTAAAAATGCCATAAATGAATCAATTTAGACTGTCCTTGGAACCCAAAGGACCCAAATCTCCAAAGGGATCAAGCCTAATCCAAGATTACTTAGAAACTGATGACTAATAACTTGTCTGTGCCAATGATGCATGTGACAATTTTGGTCAGAGGGGTTCAGAAGACCTGGGGACATTCCTGGTAAGGGCCTGTGGTGCGGCACTGCCTTTGGGTCTGTGTCCTGTGGGTAGGACAAGGTCATCAAAGTGGATGGCTGGCAGGGACCTATACAGACTTCAGCTTAAATAGATAGGGGACAGAGTACTGCGGAATCACTGCTAAGAGCTTCTAGGCTCTTGACTAACCAAAGAGACCCAGGGAAATTTAACAGGCTCCTCATCTGAAAATTGCTTTAATTGATGATAAATACAACAGAGTTTCTTTCTCTGTAGAAGTGCAAAATACTGCACATATATTTGCATGGTTAGTCTTCAGAAACACGTTCTCTTTTGTTGAGCCAAGTCTCTGTCACTCAGGCTAGAGTGTTGTGTTGTCACAGCTCACAGCCACCTCAAACTCCTGGGCTCAAGTGACCCTCCCTCAGCCTCCCCCGTAGCTGGGAATACAGGAGCCTGCCACTATGCCTGGCCAGTTTTTCTATTTTTTTTTTTTTTTTTTGAGACAGAGCCTCAAACTGTCCCCCTGGGTAGAGTGCCGCGGCATCACAGCTCACAGCAACCTCCAACTCCTGGGCTCAAGCCAGTCTACTGCCTCAGCCTCCCAAGCAGCTGGGATTACAGGTGCCCGCCACAACGCCTGGCTATTTTTGGTTGTAGCCATCATTGTTGTTTGGCAGGCCCAGGCTGGATTCGAATCTGCCACCTTAGGTGTATGTGGCTGGCGCCTTAACCTCTTGAGCTACAGGCGCCAAGCCTGGTTTTTCTATTTTTGGCAGAGATGAGGTCTTGCTCTTGCTCACGCTGGTCTTGAACTCCTGAGCTCAAGGGATCCACCAAACCTGGTGACATTTTTATAATGATATCTAGATGCAAAATTATTTAAACATGATACAAGAAAATGAAATATAAGTAAACTGAATTAAATATAAACCAGTCAGAAACCCATCAGCATTTTCCTAGCAACCTGTTTCCTGAGAAACAGTGTAAGTAAAATGTTCGAGAGTAGCTTCTGAGTTGGGGGCCAGTTTGCACCCTGACCTCACCGTCTCTTAGCTGTATGACTTCTATAAACTAAGTGAAACAACTAAGCATGTAAGGAGGTGAAAGGCGGCTTCTTTGTGTGTAAACCTGAACACCCACCTCATAGTGATACTGTGAAGAGTAAAGACAAGACGATAATGCATGTGCCCAACTCAGCAGAGTGCCTGCAGCTACTTGGCTTAGATTTAAGTATGTAGAAGTACTTTTAGAATACTGACTTAACACTTCACTTTTCAAATATAAGAAAAGAAGTCATGAATTTTAGATTGAAATTATCTGGCAGTATAAAGGCCTTTTGGGAAACTATGGAAAACACATGAAATTTCTAATTCTTATGCAGCCTTCGAGAGTGGTATTTCTTTTTCCATGAACCAATTTCAAAAATGTAATAAGGAGCTGGTGGTCCTGTTATTCTCATTTAAAATATTAGCAATAGGCTAGGCATGGTGGCTCACTCCTGTAATCCTAGCATTCTGGGAGGCTGAGGCAGGAGGATCACTTGCGCTCAGGAGTTCAAGACCAGCCTGAGCAAGACCAAGACCCCAACTGTACTAAAAATAGAAAATTAGTGTGATGGCAGGTGTGTGTGATGGCAGGTGCCGTGGGAGGCTGAGGCAGGACCTTTGCTTGAGCTCAAGAGTAATTTGAGGTTGCTGTAAGCTATGATGCCACAGAATTCTACCCATGGCAACATAGGAAGACTGCCTCACTGTCTCAATGTTTCAGAATACAAAAAATATTAAAAGACTGTAAATCATTTTAATAATAAAATCAAATATATGACAGAAAATCTAACATGAAGCATGTACAGATATTTGATAGGTGCTTTCAAATTATGCTAGGAATAGAGAAAAATGTAACATGGATTTTTATGTTTTAGTTATTAAAATGAAAAGTATTTTAGAAAAGCCCTCCATGTCTAGCCATCTCTGATCTGATGCCTTGTAAAGAGCTAACCTGGACGAGACTAGCTACAACCTGTGATTCCCAAAAGACACAAATCAAGCAAGGCTCCGAAGGATCCATACGCAGGTAGAATGACAAGAAAAAGAAAAGCAATGTGTAAAGAGGACCAGTTATTCCTTAGACTGATCTTGGTGTGCACGCATGGTGCACAATGTTTTACAATGAAGTTAAAAAAAAAAACAAAGAGTAGGACTGGGGAGTGAAGTCTGAACTGAGGAACTTGTATTTCATAGAGTAAAATGAACATTTGCTTTATGTGATTCATATTTCTCCTCATGTAAAGATGACTTGAATTTATTCATAAAAAGATCAAAAGTTTGAGGGGGCCAAACCCTGGGAAGTTCTGCTGTGACTTTATATTTCTAGAGTAACCAGCATATCACAGGAGCTCAGTGTTAAGGAAACACAAACTATGTGTAACCTCCTATTGTGTGTCTGTGTGTCTGGCCGTGTGTATTTAGCACAGCCTCCAAGGAACTGGACTTGGCAGAATCTAACAAAATCACAAATGCGTACACCCCATGACCCTACAATTCTGCTTCTGGGAATTTATCTTTGGCTCTACCTGCACACCCACAAATCAATGCATATTCCAAGTTACATGCCAAAGCACTCTAAGAGCTGAGGAGTTCAAGACCAGCTTAAGTAAGAGCAAAACCCATCTCTATTAAAAATAGAAAATTTCCATTTATAAAGAAACTAATTAGATAAAAGTGAATCTCTTCAACAGTACTAGGTAATTGTTAAAAAGGAGGGAAAAAGGGACAGAGGGATAAAGGGATGGAGGGACGGAGGAATGGAGGGACGGAAGGATGAGGGATGGAGGAGCAGGATGAGGGATAGAGGGACAGAGGGATGGAAAGAAG